TGGGTTTCAGGCTCTTGAAGGCCTTTGCTTCTTTGCTTTCTTCTTATCTTGTCATTTTGAATGCTGTCTGCATAACTCAGATTTCAGATTTGCTTTCCCCAGACCTCCCTCTGTTGGAAGTTCCTCAGGGATTTACTTAGATTTCTTTGGCCTCCTCAAGGTCAGCCCTCCATCACCTACTATTCTTTAACAGACCCTTCTTTGTGCTCTAACCATATCTCTTGGTGCACCAGTTCTTTAGGTGCATGAGTTTAGTTTCAGGTCTTGGCTGCACGCTTCCTACACTCGCGCTTGGCAACCTCCAGGTTTCTCAGGCTTCTCTACCTGAACACCTCTATCTTATCTTTCATGATCCATCCACTTCATGTTCAGTAGAAGAGGCCCTAGCTGACTTGCAAGTTTGCTGGGGCTGCCATTTGCATATCCTTTGCTTAGCCAGTACCAGAGGGTGTTTGTCTGTTTATACCATCCACTGGTGTTATAGTTATGTAACTGTTAAATAACATGCAGGTAAACCAGGAGTGAGAAGAGCGATCATTCTGTGAAAACTCAGGTGAATGCTTTGGGAGGGTAAGTTACTTAAAGAGCAAATGAAGTTGGATTAGGTTTGGGCAAGGCGCCTTGAAGGTTGGAGGTGGAGGGGTCCTAAAATCTCAGTGGTCCTGTACTTACGCTTCGTAGGCACTGAAGTTCTCCCTTAGAGACGCTACCGTGTAGACAATTCATTCTGGGTGACTTTTACCAGACTCTAGTCAGTGGAAGAGATCTTCTGGGCCTATGTGGAGGCTCTCAAAGTTTTGTTTCCAGCAAATGATGGACTTTGTTGGGGACAAGTCAGAAGAAAAGTCACAATAACCATATTGTCATTACTCGAGATGTCAGTTGTAAATGCTGACCTGGAGCTCTCAGTTACTGAAGGTGAGGACGCGGTATTCTCCATCTCCTCCCTCCTTGCTGTCCTCGTTCTGGTTTTTCTGTGTTGTTGAGACAGGAGCGCTGATGTCCTGTTGTTACCCTGGTCCCATTTTAGTCTCAGTCCTCCTGTTAAGTAGCTTCAGTGTTCACTGCCACCCTTCATGCCACAGGCTTCCCAGTCACCACCTGGTTGTCACGTGTATTGAACTGTATTCCCCAGCCCATTATTCGTTCTTGCAAATCATCCAGGTCCTTGAGTCATGCTTTCTGTCCTCGGGAAGGCTGAAGGTACTGGTCATTTTCTGCTAGCTCTAAACATTAATGTGGAAATTTTCAAGGTTTTGCCCCACTTTCAAGTGATTTGGGTTTTTTTCCCTGGTTGTAGGAGTCCAGAAGACTCCTAAAATGTGTGTCTTGGCACTTACCATGGGGGCTGTTTTCTCTGAGACACAGTGTGCCCTTTCCAGATGTAGAGCCCAGTCTGCTCGTACTTCAGAAACATCTAGAACTCTGTCTTTGTGCCATCCTTAGAAATGTCTTTGCTTGTTGTCTCCTGTTGCTGTTGGTTTCTCTCACAATGCCGCACATTTCACTGTCTTTTCTCTCTGCTCCTTTTAGCTCTTTTCGCTGTTTCCATTTCTGTCCTTTAGCTCCATGTCGTTTAATCAGTGTCTCTTACCCTTTCACTACTTCTGGTTTCGTCTTCATTCTGTAAGTTTTTCCCTGCCACTTCTTCCCTGAGCTCCATTAGTGTACGCCTTCTCTTCCTACTCCCTGCCCTTGCAAAAGCTCAAAGTTCCTGCATTTCTTCTTTGAACTCTTGCTTCCCAGAAACAACTGTTTCATTCATTAAGTTTTCTTTTTTTTAATTTTGCAAGGTCTCTTATTATAATTTTAACTACTCCATAGCAGCATTTTTGCAGTGTGTCGTGTTAGTTTACCATTTGGTGTTCCTGCTTCCTGACTTCCTTTGTTGTATCTTTGTATAGATACTATGAAGATTTGTCTTTTATAGTCATCTTTAAGTAGGTTAGTTTTTCAGGGACCGGCTATTTTCAGGAATGTCGTTTGGAGGAGGTAACAAGACTGTAGGCTGGCTGCAATTGTTCCCTGATTTAGAGTTCTGGGTAAGTTCATCTGACCTTTATTTCCAGCCAGCAAATAAAGATAGGCATCTGTGAGCATTTCCACAACACAAACACTTTCTTCTCTGCTGCTGCAGAGACCAAGTCTGGTGAAAACACAGCTTGCTTATATGGTTTCTCATGTGGCCTGACTCCAACGAAGTTCCTGCCCTCCACCGACAAGGAGGGCCAGAGTGTGTGCTTTACCTCCAAGAAGCATGCTTTCACAGGCCTCTCTGAGGTTCCTAGCTCCCACCTCCTCTCTTCCTTTCCTTCTTTGAGGCAAACGAAGCCTTGCCTGAGCTCCATGGTTCTGACAGCTTTTCTTTTTTGGGGGGCAGCACTGAGGTTTGAACTCAGGGCCTCATGCTTGCTAGGCAAGTGCTCCTGTTGCTTGAGCCACTCTGCCAGCCCCTTGACAACCACCTGTGTGGGGTCTGGAGTTTGCATCTTCTACTTTTGTTGAAAGTGAATTTACATTTTTATTTCTCCTTCTGCATTTAGAACAGGTTTTGAATACTTCAGAAAATGCTGACTTTATGATGCAATGCTCAGATTAGAAGTCTCAAGTTATTTTTTTCTATTAACCAGCACTGGACATTGTTTTTTGGTACTAGGATAGAACTTAGAGCCTTGCTCTTGCTAGGCAGATGCCCTACTGCTTGGGCCATGCCCCAGTCCTGCTCCACAAAGCCTCGACCACCACCTCAGTGTCCATCTTCGAAGCTCCTCCAGCCCAAGGCGCATGCCGTTTGGATGGCTAGAGAGCCTTTCCTTCATCCTGCATGCCTGCTCTGCACTTGGCACAGCAGGGTAGAATTCACAAGCGCCTTGACACCCAGGGGTGAGGGCAGTGGCAGACGCAGCCTGGGACTTGCACAGAAGCCGGGCAGGCTGAGGTTCAGCATCCAGTTCTGAAACCGATTAGCTGACGTTGGGCTAGTTCCATTGACTTTTCCTCATATGTAAGGGGACGACTGCTCCCTCCACCTCACATGAATGCTGTCACATTTAGATCGCTCGCTCGGCGTCCTTGGCACTGCAACCAAGTCTGCCTTCCACCAGCAAAGAACAAACAAAGAAACACCAAGAGTGCTAGTAGAGGCCTGGGTTTCTTTCTTGTTAAAGTTGTAGGAACCATAATGTGAAGTTCACCGTCTTCAGATTGAATTTTACAGTTTGGAGGTATTAACTGTTCTCAGATGCTGGCCAGCCATCACCACTGTCCACTCCAGAGGTCGGCGTCTCGTAAAACCTAATCTCTATGCACATGAAACCAACTTTGCCATTCTTCCTCCTCCCTTGCCCCTCCACTTTCTGTTTCTATGACTTTGACCTTCTATGCATTCCTACAGTATTTGGCTTTTTGGATCTGATTTATTTGATTAGCAGTGTCTTCACGGTTCATCCATGGTGTAGCATGTATCAGAATTTCCTTCCTTTTTAAGGCTGAATAATATTCCATTGTGTGGACATACCACATTTTGTTTTTCTGTTTGTTCAGTGGACACCTGGTTGCTTCCACATGCTCGCTATTGTGAACAATGCTGCTATAAACATGGATGTTCACATATCTCTTTGAGCTCTACTTTTAGTTCTTTTGGGTATATACCTAGAAGGGGCATTGCTGAGTCATATGGTAATTCTGTTTTTAATTTTCTGAGGAACTGCCGTTATAACTCATACATCTAAGGACTTGGGTTTTTGTTTTGGTGGTGCTGGGGTTTGAACTCAGGGCCTCGTGCTTGCTAGGCAGGGGCTCTACCACTTGAGCCACTCTACCAGCCCTTTTTTGGTTGGGTATTTTTGAGATACGGTCTCACAAACTATTTGGTCAGGCTGGCCTCAAACCATGATCCTCCTGACTCTGACTCTGCCTCCTGACTAGCTAGGATTACAGGCGTGAGCCACAGGTGTCTGGCTTTCAGGGCCTTCTGCTTCTCTGCTTTCAGAGGCCCACTGTACTTCTCCCACTGGCTCTGTGAGACTCTCTGGTATCTCCAGCCATTGTTCTCTTCCTTATCTAACCTGTGACTGTTCCAGTAATTTGGCCCTTAGTGGACAATAGAATGTCATACTTGCGGTTACCCCCAATTGACTGAAAGTACCTTAAAGTCGTGTTGGCATGACTTGAAGTATGAAGTGCCACCCCTGGAATCCCAGTGGGCACCTCTGATTCAACCGGCCCAGGACTTTCTGTACCAGTGTTCTTGACATTCTGGAGTGTAGAGCCTGAGTCACCTCTGTTCCATCCCTGAGGTTGAATTCCCTGGAGTTCAGCTTTGTTTAGAGAACCAGTAGTTGGATGGACCCTGAGCCCAAATGTAAGCCTCATGCTCAGACAAGTATTTATGCAGAGGCTACTCTCCTATCTGATCTGGAAAACATGGCGAGGATGGATCACAGGAATGGGCTCCGTTCTGCTCTAATCACTCCGCTCCAATGGAGCACAGGCTGGAGGATCCACCTTATGTACGGTACCTGGGGAAGACCCCATCTCAGCTGCTTTGATAGGGATTGTCATCATGGCTGGGCCTACTTACATCTGTCAGCGTCAGCAGTAAAATTAGGGAGAAACTCGATATGTGAGGCATTGGCCAAGGTGCTTTTCACACTTGTCATGTCGCCCAGCCTGCCCCATGGTCCTGGAAGGAGGCTGAGACTCTGGAAGGGTGATTTGCCTAGGCCACCCAGTTAATGAATACAGAACTAGGATTTAAACAAGATTCATTGGAATCCAAAGTGAGCTCTCACCTCCTGTGTGGAGTGTGACTGCCGATGTGAGGTTTGGTGCTGGGATGTGCTGGCGTTGGGGGACTTTTGTGGTGGCTGCACCTGGGGCTTGGGTGTCTTGAGCTGTGGATTGAGCCAGGTGTCAGGTTTGACCACTGTGCTGCTGCAGGGAATCATGGCTACCCAACACTGTAGACTGCTCTGACCCCTCTTCTGCTTTCCCTCTAGGTACACTACATCCTCCAGGAGGTGGTGATGGGTGGGATGGTGTTGGAAACAAACATGAACGAAATCGTGGCTCAGATCGAGGCTCAGAACAGGCTGGAGAAGTCGGAGGTGAGGCGCAGTGGAGGGCTGGGCGGAGGGAGCCGTGCGCGCTGCTTGTGCTGTTCACAAGCTGTGGGGAATGATTCTGCTCCGCTTCCTTCTTCCTCGATCTGTCAACCTGATTTGAAGGTCAGCCCTGGAAACTAAGCAAGGAAGGTTTGAGCCTCAGCTGTCAGGCCAGAAGGGGGAATGGAAAGGCAGATGGCAGAGCAGGGCAACAACTTGAGCTTATGGTTTTGGCCCAGGTTTGTGGATTATAATTCCTTTTCTCAGAGCCACCGTGGCTGGCCTCGAACCATGATCTCTGGAGGGACCTAGATTCCCCTTCTCTGGTGCCACTGTGGTTTCCGCTCACTGCGGGTGCTGCGTGAGCTGAGCCTGATCTCCTGGCAGCCATTTCTCATGATGGCTTTCGGCCTGTAAGTTCCGAGTTTCCTAGGTTTCAGTTCGTCTTATAAAAAGCTAAAGCGGAGTTGGCTGGGTTTAAAATGCCACTCTCGCCCACCCACGTGGCACTCAGCTTGACACAGGAACTCACAGTAAAGCTGTCCTGTGCCCCTCCCATGGCCTTACCATGGAGCGCGCTTACAGGTAAACCCTCACACGTGCAGAGACAGCAGTATGGATGGCTTCTCTAAGTACCTGGCATCTTGACAAGTTTCCTCACTCCGTGTAATGGAACTCTTCCATGAGGACTGGCGGTCCCACTGGTGGCAGCTGTAGTTCTGTGAGAAATGTAGGCTGGGAAGCTTCCAGAAATAGTGAGTCAGAGGCAAGGGGTCTGGAAAACAGAAGTAGACTTGATACTTGAAGTGCAATTGGAGTAGGTATCCCAAAAGCAGTCAGTAAAGGGAAATGATTTTGAGAGTTTGTCAACTGCTCCCCTCGTTCCACGCTGTAGTGAGCTGGGGTGGGTGCCTCAGGCTTCGTGTTTTGTTATCAGTCTTTCCATGTCTGGGGCACCCCATCTTCTGTGTAACAGCTCCTCCTGGCTGCTGTCCAAGTTTCCAAAGCCAGCCCCTTCCCGGCTCACATCATAAGTTGACAAACAGTTGCCCTAAAGCAGTGACATTCCTTTTCCTTTCAAGAATTTCCCTGTGACTTTGTATTTGTCTCTAAGATAGCCTCTTGAGGAGAGGGCTTTGTTCTGTTTTGTTTCATAACTAGAAAAGTGCCCTTGAGACTTCTTAGGACTTGGACAGCCATCTCCGAGTGTCTCGGCAAGGCTTCGTCAGGATCTACCGCAGGCCAAGTGCAGTTAGGTTCTTCAAAGCTACGTGGGGCACATGGCCTTGAGCTGGTCCAACGGGAGCACAGGCTTTGGGTTCCCACACCAAGCTCCAGGTACCCTAAACGTTATTTTGTTGGCTACTTTTGCAGAATAGGGAGGAAAAATTTAAACTTCTGCTGTGTGTGCTCCATTTGAAATTGTTCTACGCCTCCTTCTTCTGTTTTGTCTTAAAAATTTGAGCAGTTGACACTGAAAAAGTGTCTCACCTACCTCGTTCTCCCCAGGGTGGCCTTTCAGCAGCCCCTGCCCGTGCTGTGTCTGCTGTGAAAAATATGAACCTACCAGAGATTCCCCGCAACATCAACATCGGTGACCTCAACATCAAGGTCCCCAACCTGTCCCAGTTTGTCTGAGGGTGGAGGATTGGGCTGAAGTGGAGTCCTTCAGATGAGCAAAGCCAGTCAAGTCTGGAAGCAGAACCCCTGAGCCCTAGAGGAGCAGAGCCTCAGGACCCTGAACTTTCTGCTTGGGAAGAGCATTTGACGTGGAGCGGGAAGGGATTGAGGTGCACACAGTGTGAGCATGCTGAGCCTCCCACCACAGACCTGCTTTCTCATCCACATGGCCGCCTATGCACTGCTGCACCCTGGGAACAGGGGCTTATGGAGCAGGCCCGCCTGCTGCCCAGAGTCTGCCACTAGCCTGAGCATGTTCCCTGACTGGAATCCTCATGACCACAGGCTTCCAAGGTCCTGCAGCACTCACTTGTGTTGAGACGCTGTGGGGTGTGGTGAGGGCAGGGCTTAAGGGAACCACAGTTACCCGCTGGCTCTCTGAGGGTCGTCATACTCAGAATCCTTTTGTTTAGTCAAGCTTTTTGGGCACTGCCTGCTACAGTCATTCCCCACACTGACTGGCCTAATGCCAGTTGTTCCCACAAGTGTCTCTGTAAGACACAGTCCAAATCATAACACCTGGTGCGTGCCTTCACACATACACCCCCTACCTGGCTGAGACAGCCTCCTCCCAGAGCAGAGGCCCTGCATCTATAGAAGGCGAAAGCCGACAACGTGCAGACCATCACAGAATTAACCACTCTCCCAAGTTTAAAGCTTGCTCCTCCTGGGGACAGAAGGTTCAGGTGCTGTGTTCTGAATGATAACTCCCATCAATAGGAAGCCCACTGCCCCTGTCCCACCTTCTGAAGCCTGAGAACTTGGACCGTGGCTGCCATGGGGCCGGACTGGCACTGGCTGGCCAAGGCTGGTGCAGACAGAGCTGCTGTCCCAGGTGACCTTTTCCCAGGGTTTTGGAGACCCATGGGCACTTCCATGTGAGAAGAGTCTCTTCCTGTGGCTGCGTTGGACCTAACGCTGCCTTCAGAGTAGGGCTTCTGCACTGCTCGAAGGCAGGGTCTTGGATGACCTTGCTCCTTGAAATAAGGTGCTGACTGCGTGTGCATGGAAGTCTCCCAGCTGGGGACCCACACTCAGGCCTCTTGACACTGTTGCAAAGCAGATCTGAGGTGGTGCCCAGCAGGACCATGTGTCAGGCTGGTCGCCTCTCTGTCTGGTCTGCGTATTCTCTGTCCTGTCCTCGCTCTTTCTTTCATTACCTCTCTGGTGACCTTGGAGGTGGAGGTTGAGCAGAAGGCAGGCTCCTGTGAGGTTGGAGAAGGGGGGTGTAGGCAAATAGATTTCATGGAAAACCCTAATGCCAGTCTCTCAAAGGCTTGATTTGTGTGTGTGTGGTGGGGCAGGGGTCATTTCAGCACATTCATGTCCCTTTCATGTTTCCTGAATGAGAAACTGGAATAAAAGAAGGAAACCAGTGTTTATTTTGCATCTACTGGGAAGTGGAACGAGAAGACCCTGTGTCAGTCCCCCACCAAGGTGTTCTTATCCTTGTTTTATAGTTGGAGAAGGTAGATGAGAAAGGTTAGGTGACCTGCTTTTAGGTCACATGGAGCTAAGATCCAAAGCTTTACCTGTCTGCCTGGCTCTAGTCCTTTTTTCCCTTCACTGCTTAAGATGGCTTCTTCCAATTTTACCTTTTTTTATAGGTTATATATAAAGAGACTACTTCAGAGGGATTAAGCAACGTCTCACAAGCTAGCAAAAACAGGTGTGGCCTTCTAAGGTAACCAGTGGCCAGTCACAGACCAAGTCTCTGTGTCCCTCCATTCAGCCACAGAGCTGAAGCTCTGGATTAGGTGCTGGGTTGAGGCTCACAGCTCTAGAACCAGGTGAGGTACTGAGCACCCTGCTGCAGTGGGAAGGTTAGTAGCCTGTCCTGCATGTCCTGGGATGGTGGTCATCTCACATGTTTGCCAGATAGAAACCACTGGGTCCCAGACACCATTGCCTAGCACTATGGATCACGCGCCTCACACTGCCTCACCGTGTCAGCATAGACTTCCCTGGACAACAGTCCTGGACAAGCCACAATGAACAGTTAGTTTTTTAAGCTCGAGGTTGCCTGCAAATCCAGCTGACTTTCTTAGCTGCTGTCACAAAACCATAAGTACTTCTAAATAGTTTTTGCTTGCTTTAATGCAGGCTGGCTTTGAACTATGCAGTCCTGCCTCTGCCTTCCAAGTGCTGGAATCTCAGTTGTGGGCCACCATACCTACTGCTTGTTTTTAAAATTGATGAACCCTGGGCTGCAAGTGGTGCAGGTGGTAGAACGTCTGCCTAGGAAGCCTAGCAAGTGTGAGGCTCTCATTGGTTTGTCCTTGGAGAAGGGTACAGTTTGCTCCTGAGATGCCAGTTACGAAGCTAGGTGCTAGGTTTGAGTTGGGTGGGAGCCCTTGGCCCAGCTGGTGTGAGAGTCCCTGGGGTGGCACAGAGTCCCGGGCTTTTGGTGCTGCTGCCCCTGGTCCACTCAAGTTCTTCTATCAAATAAAAAAATACAAATAAAAAAGTTCTTCCATCGAGCAGCTTCTAAGTGCGGCTCAGATTGACTGAAGGGTGAGGGTTACGGCTTTTACCCTCTTGGGAGTCCTGGAGGGCAAAACGGCTGATAAGGAAGCAGCCCCTGCAAATGATTAATCCTCTCCATAGACTTGAAATGCTTTCCTATTTCAACACTTCTTCCAAAAAGGAAGTATGGGGCTGGGGAGTGGCTCAGTGGTAGAGCGTCCTGCCCAGCAAGCATAGGCCTTGAGTTCACACCCCAGTGCAAAAAAAAAAAAAAAGGAATTTCCATTCACTGAAAAAACTGACTTCAGCCCAAGACTTCCAGTCATCGAGCCCCTCCCTAGCAGAGCCGGGCTCCCAATTTAAAGGAAGCAAAGTCCCCAGGCCTTTACCACTGAAGCCAAGAGCTTTCCTGAGAGGGGGTTATGTTCCATCTGACCTTGGTGGTTGACCTCAGCTCAGTACAGTCATGCCTTCCTCTTAGGAGACGGGCATGTGAGACAGCACCCCTACTTCTGCGCTGCTGCCTTGCCTAGGCCTTACCTCTTTTCACACACCCCGACACTGTTCCCTCCTACAAGGGTGTGGGCCCCTTGAGCCAGTGCTTGTCTTACCCTGTGCTGCATCCCAGCCTCTGAACTAGGCCTGGTCCATACCGCTCAATAAATAACTGCAAATGATGACTCATTCCTATAGCCCCCTCTGTGCCTAGCACTGCGAGGGAGAAACAGGAAGTGGGGAGGACTAGGTTGGAGGAGAAGGCAAAGCTGACTGATGCTGGCAGGTAGTGGAGGGCTGGGGACGGTGGTCCTGGGAGGATGCAGCTGGGAGGGGAGTTGGAAGGTGAACACGGTGTTGGTGCTGCATGAGAGTGTCAGGCAGGAAAGGAATGAGTGTTCATCGCAAAGATGATGTTCAGAGTCTGTGTCCAAGGGATGAGAAAGAAGGACTGAACCTGAGGGTCAGGGGAAGTGAAATGTCTCGGCATTGGAGTGACTTGAAGTCAGGAGGACTTTCTGTGGGGAGGAGTGTAAGAAGAAATGGCCCCTAACTTGCAGCTGCTTGGCCAAAGTCCCCCAGTGACCAGCAGACTCAGAGCTGAAGCCTGACGGGGCCACAGTCATTTGACTAAGTGGCTGCATAGGAATGTGGGTGGCCGTCCAGCTCTGCTGAGCTTTCCCAAGCTTCCTCCTCCATCAGAAGGGTGATAGAAAGTACCTGCCTTGTACTGCCATGAGGGTGACCATAGGGAGCTCCACACAACACTGCGGCCACCCTCCTTGGGAGATGTACAGAGGGCTGGGAGTTGGTGGGCAGTCAGAAGGTGGTGGTGACCAGAAGTGGACAGAGGCAGGGTCAACTGCTCAGCCAGCAGGAGGAACAGGCAGTGGTAACCGAGGGCCTTGGGAGGAAGGACAGCGGCTCCTGGCCTGGCCCCATCGGTGTGGCCGCACACCGTGTCCAAAGGCCCTGCTCGCTGGATAAAGCTGTAAGGGAGGTGGCAGAGCTCAAGCAAGGGAAGCTTGCCTTACGATGAGGGTCTGGCCACGTGTGGTAGTTACGTCCAGCATAGCGAGACCCTGCCTCAACAAAACAAAAAGGGGCTGCTGGAGTGGCTCAAGTGGTAGAGCACCTGCCTAGCAAGTGTGAGGCCCTGAGGTCAAACCCCGGTACCCCATTACAGGAATGGGTGATGAGGCCTTGAGGACCAAAGAGCAAAGTTGTGATTGGGAGGACAGGAATGGGGCACAGTGGAAGGAGTCAGCAGCTGGCAAGGATCTGTGTGACAGCCCAGCAGGCCTAGATGGGAGCTGGGGACCCTGCAGGGACACCACACTTCCCTTGAGTAGTGAGGCCTTTGGGCTTGTCATACGCAACCTTACGTTTTTGTCTGGTTCTCACGTCCGCCTGGCCTCCTGGGAGCACTTGAGGATGGTGCACCCCCTTCTCTTGTACTTCCGAGGCCCGGCCCCAACTTGAGAGGGGCCAGAGGCTAGAGGTTGTGTTTGGCTTTGTGGAGGATGAACGTCCTTTGGGAACCCACAAGGTGAAAAGGTGAAGGAGCACTATGACTGTGTGAAGCAATTCCCAGATGCCGGGGTTCTTTGCTACATTTGAGCTACGTCCCTGGCCTCTTTGCTTTTATTTTACTTTTGTCTTTGAGCCAGGGACTCAATAACCCTGCCCTGGTTGGTCTTGAACTCTCCTCCTACCTCCTCCCAAGCAGATGGGATTACAGGTATGTGCCACCGTGCCCGGCAGGTACACTTACAAAAGAGGGGTTCTTAGACTCCCCAGACTGAGGTGATACTCAAAGTCTAGATGCCTCCTGGCTGACTATAGGATGATGCCCTGATAAATGCATCATTACTTGGAAATATTCGTAGTTGCAAATGTGTTGAAGACACTTGACCGCTAGAACACCAAAAGTCAACATGGACTCCCACCCTGCAGTCTTTGTGGTTCCCTGGTGGTCCTGTGACTGACCAGGCTGTGGCTGTCCACCCCACAAGATGACTGATGACTACTGGATGTCACTAGACCCAGAAAAGATCTTCCCTCCTCCCCAGTTTTTTAGCAGTACTGGAAGGATTTGAACTCAGGACCCTGCAGCACTCTGCCACTTGAGCCATGCCCCCAGCCCTTTTTGCTTTAGGTTATTATTTAAATAAATAGGGTCTCATGCTTTTTGCCCAGGCTAGCCTTAGCCTCAGCCTCAGACTGTGATCCTCCTACGTATGCCTCCCTTGTAGCTGGAATGACAGACATGCACCATCATGCCTGGCTTATTGAGTTGATGTCGCCCTAATTTTTTTTATCGAGGCTGACCTTAAACTGCCACTTCTGAGATTACAGGCGGGAGCCACTCCAACAGCCCAAATTTAAAGTACGGTTTCAACAGTATACTTAACTGCTTTCACACCACGATGAAACCAGAAAAGCTAAAGTCCGGAGCATCTGTCTTTACAACTGGCACGAATCAGGCCCGGGTCAATTACAGTGGAGGTGCCCGACTCTGGGGGATGGGAAAGGGCTACAGGTGGTCCATGGGTGGCCCCTGTCTCTCCTGAGGTAAGAGGGGACCCACAGGCTGCTACCTCGGGCAGCTGCTGCAGTGAGAGGCAGAGAAAGGCCGGCCATTGCACCTGTGTCTTGGTGGGTCATCATGGCCCCTCCTGCTCAGGCACTAAGGTGAGAGGGACATGGGCCTTCCATGCCCGATCTCTCTGGACCAGGGCAGTAAAATGGGGCCAAGAGACAGCCACAGGCCCAGGGCTCTTCCCACTGTCCTAGGCAGCCTGGGTGCCAGCTGCAGGCCAGAGGTGGCCACACAGAGGCCTGGGGAGTAGCCCCTTCTTGTTAGAGCAGTGCTCACCCAAGCGAATTTAGATTTGAGCTGCCAGTGGCAAAACCAGCTTTTCCAGAACTTGCTCCAGGCTGGAAGGTGTGGCTGGATCCTGGTCTTCCTCCTGCACCAGTCAGACCACAGGGGAGGTCTTGGTATCGGATTCCACTCTTTGGGGACATTTTCTGCTGAGGGTCCCTTCCTGGGGACCTGTACCCCAGCTTCTCTCTGCCTTTTTCCACCAGTTGGGCTGCACTGGCCCTAGGAACCACCAGCCACCCATCTGCCGACCAAAGCGCATGATGACATTGAGGGCTGAGAGGAAGTCCCAGGGTCCAGACTGAGCAGAGCTCCAGGTTACAACCCGTTCTTGTCATGTCACCCTGCAGAGCTGCTCCGAGCTTCAGAACAGGCCATTTCTTCAGTCCCACAGCTCTCTGGATTCCATGTGTCCCTCTAGGTTGGCCCCTTGGCTCTGGGCACACAGTCCCCAGCTTTGTCCTTGACAGGAACCCAGACTTCCCAGCCCCTGGCTTCTCCTCTCCTCATAGTCCCCTCCCTGGGAACCCAGCAGCCCCAAATACTGCTTGACATCAGGCCCCACTGTCACCACTGCATACCTCCAACCCACGCAGGCCCCCCCTCCACTGTTCTGCCTCCTTTCACCTCCTGATCTTGGACCCAAGGCCCAAACTCCTGGGCTTCCGCATGTCAGGTCAGGCCACTCGGCCCTGAATGCCAGATAAAGAGACGTGGTGCAGGGCAGAGAAAGGAGGTTTAGTGCACGGCTCGGGACAGGCCGTGGGAGAGACAGGGTAAGCAGACGTGAGCTTTAGCTCTAACTGGACAAAGATTTAGGGCAGGGGACAAAGGTATGCTTAGTTTAACAGTCCTGGTCACAGCTGCGTTCCAGTGGTCAAGTGGAGCCTGGTTGACCATTATCTCAGTCCTTGATCTTCAAGGGCTCCAGAGAAGTCGTTGCCGGTGTCATCACTGAGGGGAGCAATCTGGTTCCTACGAGATCACTCCTGCTCCATTTGGGGTGGTCTGTCCTGCAGGCTCTGCTGTTCCTTAGGAGAAGTGTCAGTCCCTTGTCACAAACATGCTCTCCAAATGAACCAAGGCTTGTATGCACATATGAATAATAAAAGAAAAAGAAAAAAAAAACCAAAAAACAAAGATGCTCTCCATCATTCCTGTCCTTCCTTGATTCCAAGGTGGCTGCAGGGGAGAATGGCTCCGAGCAAAGGACAACAGGTACAAAATGGAGACAGAGGTGCCAAGCTTTCTCCTGTGTTTAGTTAATCCGTGGGCCAAGGAAGGGAGCCAGTGCTTTCAGCAAGAGCAGTTCAGGTGCCTCTTCCAGCCTCATCTCAGCTCCACGGGGCCCTTCTCACTCACTAGCCACGCTGCCTCACTGCCCGGCAGGACTTGAGGCTTCCTGTCCAGCGGCTGAAACAGTCACCTCTCCCCAGTCATTCTGTCCCAGACCCACTCAGTTCTTCCACGCCCTTATGGTCCCATGTGACAGTGTGTGCACCACCAGCTCCGTCCTCACTCCGTGCTGCTGTGTTGTGGGTATCTGCAGCGCTGGCCCGTGTGACACCACCAGAAATAAACAATGCTTCAGTGAGCAGAAGCCCCCCTGTTGCCCCCAGTGTGCG